ATATTATGTTATGGACCGGGAATAACAAAACCGGAAGTCACGTGATTGAAAATATATATAAAAACCGGAAACCAGAAAGCAACACATTTGAGCGCGCGTTTGCAAAATTCATTTACACGTTTTCTTTCACGAAACATCATTTTCGTTTTGTTTTCTTTGACACTTGGCCTATGATAATAAAGCACGGCTCCGTCTCGTGAAACATCAGCGGTCTCGGGACCACAAAACATACTGTTTCCCTCGGTCCCAGTAATTTTTAAGATTTGTGTAATAATGACTTGAATATTATAAATATTTTTTAAAAATGAAAATTTGAGTCTATTTTGAGTTTAGGAAAGTCTACAAAATTAGGTTATGCTGGCGGTAGCGTTATCGAGGTAGAAGTCTACGTTTGTAGTGTCAAGTGTTCTTCTAATAGATCGTGTCCTCACAGGCAGAGCAGAGCAGAGCAGAACTAACGAGTACAAATGATACTTTTTCTCTAACCCATGACATGGTACTTGCATAGCTCTCTCCCTTCTTAATCGATAAAAGCTCAACTAATCGTTTGTGGTAAATCCTGAATTCTGTTCCCATTCCAACTGTTGTACTAAATATTAACGCGGCGTAAACGTTCCTTGTTCCACGTCGCAAAAGTCTGTTATAACGAGTTCACTTTACATTGCACGAACTGTTGAGATTTAAAGTGAACATTAGATATATAGTTTAGAATTTGCGATATATTTACAAGCGTTACATTTATCCATCAATTTTTAGTATTGGGGCTGTAATTTGCATCATTTTCCTGTCGCGCGATCTCACTGATCAATCAGATTTTAGCGGAGCTCCCGCTTCGGCCCGCGCGAGCGGAGCACCATACTTAAAGAAAAAATAGTAAACCATCGAGTTGATTTTTCATGGCTTGGCACACGTCACTTCCGTCCGTCCGTCCGTACGTCCGTGTACATAACACAGAAATCCCGCTTGATGTCAAAGCAAAAGTACTGGCAAATGCGGCTCTCAAATGCACAGAAAAAATTTAGGGCAATGGAAGTTATAGACCAAAAGCAATCAAAAAGAACATGTAGTCAAAGGTGGATCAAGAAGTGTTCTTCAAGAATTCAGGTGTGTGTTTTTTTAGCAAACAATCGTATATTATTATTCGTTTTGACAAGCATTTTTCTCGACGAATCGACAAATCAAAGACTTTCCCTCAAAACGTTTAATATTTCTATAGATAAGCTTAATTTATTTTAATGCTGGAGGAAATATAACATGAAGAGCATATTGCAACAAATATTCGTCCTTTGTTTAGCTTTGTAAATCATTAACAATTCGGTTGTTTTTAACCAACTATCATATGTTTTCGTTCAAGAAAAATTCAGCTTTGTTTTCCTCCTATCGCGGGTCCCATCGGCAAAACAAAGCTAAAGACTTTCATTCGATAATTTTATATCTTTCTACAGATAATTTATTTATATATTGAATGAAATGTAAAATTACACCAAACATTCAACT